ATATAGGTAGTCCTCAACAGTGCTTTTTTTGTAAAAAAAAAAAAAAAAAAAAGGTGCCGGAACTCAACACACATCATACAACCCGCCTTGCCTACCCTACAAGGTTCCATCCAAAAAAGGTGCCGGAACTCCGTTCTGGGTGTTCTGTGACAAAAAAAAAGCCCTGGTCCTCAATCTACAAGCACAATTGAGCCCAACATTTCCATTGCTAAGCAAGACAGTTGTTAAGTGAATTTTGCCCCATCTTACGACCTTTATTGCCACAGTGGCAATAAATGAATTGTTGCAGTTAAGTTAGTAACACGATTGGTCAGTGAATCCAGCTTCCTCATTGGGTTTGCTTGTGGAGAAGGTCGCAAAAGGTGATCCCGGGACATTGCAACCGTCATAAATACATGCCATGTTTTTAGTAATGGTTTAATGTTTCTGTTTTGCTTCTTCATCTTCAAATAAAACATATAAGGAATGGTTGCTGGAATTGGGTATGTCTAGTTTAATGAAGAGAAGGACGAGGGGGGACATGATAGCAGTGTTCCAGTATCTCAGGGGCTGCCACAAAGAAGAGGGAGTCAAGCTATTCTCCAAAGCCCCTGAAGGCAGGACAAGAAGCAATGGATGGAAATTAACCAAAGAGAGAAGCAACTTAGAACTAAGGAGAAATTTTCTGACAGTTAGAACAATTAACCAGTGGAACAACCTGCCTCTAGAAGTGGTGAATGCTCCAACACTGGAAGTTTCTAAGAAGACTGGACAGCCATTTGTCTGAAATGGTATAGGGTTTCCTGCCTAAGCAGGGGGTTGGACTAGATGACCTCCACGGTCTCTTCCAACTTATTCTTAATATTATGTTGCTGAAATTTAGTGAGCCAATATGGGTGGTCCAAGAGTCTCAGTAAAACAGGGAGTTGGTGCCCCTGATCTTCATCCTAGAGCAGTGGTTCTCAACCTTTTTAATGCCGCGACCCCAACCGGTCGTAAGTCGAGGACTAAACCGGTCGTAAGTCGAGGACTAAACCGGTCGTAAGTCGAGGACTACCCAACCGGTCGTACGTTGAGGACTTTCCCTGCCCGGGAGCGCCGTGCATGCGTGGTTCCGCCCCCTGCGCCAGCCGAGGCGTAGCTGGCAAGCGGCAGAGACGGAGCAGGCCGACCACCAGCTGGCCCAGCCCAAGAGAGGTAAGGCACCTGCCAGAAAAGGGGGAAAAAATGGCAGACAAAGAAAATGGCGGACAGCCTTGCTTGGCGACCCCCGTGAAATGGTCGATCGACCCCAAATGGGGTCCCGACCCACAGGTTGAGAACCACTGTCCTAGAGGAAGTCCAATATATAAATAATTTAAGAAATGAGATAGTTTCAGTTGCTTTTTTCTGCAACTCTCCCTCCCTCCTCTTACAAACAAAATGATTAATGTTAACCTTGTTTTCATAGTATTCTGAAAAAGAGGACAAGTATGAAGAGGAAATCAAGCTTCTGACTGACAAGCTGAAGGAGGTGAGTGAGGCCAGTGACCATGTTGGCTTGGAGATGGGAGGAGGGAAAGTGATGTCTGATCCGAGGTACAATCTTTTTCATTGCTTTAATGTCTGTTCTCAGGCTGAAACACGAGCTGAGTTTGCAGAGAGAACAGTTGCTAAACTGGAAAAGAGCATTGATGATTTGGAAGGTACGGGATAAAGCTTTTGAAACTTCGGGTGAAAAACTTTTAACAGGGCACTGTTTGCATAATTGCATGTCAGTGAATTGGCCTCTAGAAGTCTTTTTCCTGCCCTAGAGAGCTTTATGGCAATCTCACTTAGTATCTTGGTGCAATTTAACATAGCACCTGAGGATAAGAATAAGATTTAATTAAGTGTTCACATTTCTCACTTTGTCATGAATATGATTGGTTGGTCTTCGGGTGAGCAAAACTCATTCTTTGCAATTTGGGTAGCTTTTAGAATGTTTAAAAAACGATTATTGTAATAATTTCATTAAAGATCTAAGAGCTCAAAGTAGCATATATAATACTGGATAGGGGAGTGTAAAATCTTTTGAATTACAATTGTTTTGAAGGCAAAGAGCCCTCCAAGGTCAAAACAGATGTCCCAAATTTGAAATATCTCATTTTAATCACTTGGAAATGTTTTATGCTTGAAACAACCTTCTTTGGGGCCCAGACAAATCCAGGGTGATTATGATAGGCCAGTGTGAGCAGCTCAAATTAAAATGCTCTGAATATTGAATGTTTAATCTTTCCAACATTCCAACTTCCTTTTGCTGAAATCTTCATTTTCATGATCATCTTGCATTTCTATGTAAAGTATCTGTAGTGTTTCAATTTTTGTATTTAACATTCATTTCTTTCCCTTCCTTCTTCTCTTCCACTTCTCCTTGCTCTGTGGCAATGCCTCTGAACTTGCCTATGCGCCTGTTACTTCTGCATTTCACCCTGCCTCTCTCGCCACCCTTTGCCCTGCAGATGAGCTGTATGCTCAAAAGTTGAAATACAAGGCCATCAGCGAGGAATTGGACCACGCACTCAATGATATGACTTCTTTGTAGATAAATACAATGGGGCTTCCTGTCCTGCTGGGTGTTTCTACTGAGCAGCTTCTGCTTTCTTTGCCTCTGTGTGCTTTCACAAGCCTTTCTCTGTAAAAACTGCACTGCAATTAAATACATATATATATATATATATTTCAAGAATCTTTTCTCATTTGCTGTCTTTCTCTGTTTATGAAGTACAAGGCATTTGTTCCTTGTTTCCTGTATAAAATGATAGTCCCTTTAAGTTTAGCTTGAACACTGATTCAACAGAACAGTTCAGAGTTGGAGATTATTTATGTAACTTTCTCCTGAAAATAAAATTTTGATTTTCCATTTGATTTCTGGAAATTTCTGGAAATCACCAATGAAATCAGGCCATTTTGTGGGAAACTCAATCTGGAGTTTTCCTTTTTTGGGTATAAAATCTATCTCCAGCTACAGTAATTCTTACCTTGAGGAGTGGGTTGGGCTTTGATGATCTTTGACCACACTTACAACTGTGACTCTTAAATCTTTCACTAATCCAGTTCCTGTAATAGAGGGTTGGGGCACCTTTGCTCCTCCGGATGTTGGAGAGCCAGACTTCCTGGGTGTTGCTTACATAAATCTCATCATCCCAGAACAGGTTTCTCTCCTTCGGCTGGCCTTTGGGATGAATGTATCAGGCACAAGAATAACATTAAGATCAAGGGAAGAGGTGTAATTGAAGGAACATAGGAAGGCAACTAAAATTGGAATGTGAAATTAGAACCAATCCTATTCTTTGAGATTGTTTTTTTCTTAATATTTTTTTTCCCATTCTCACCAGAAAAAGTTGCCCTAGCAAAAGAAGAGAATTTGACTCTGCACCGAACGCTGGATCAAACCCTCTGTGAACTGGGCAGCATATAAATCTGTGGGGGAAGCACCCAGATTTGGAAGGTCAAGAAAAAAAAAAACCCTGACAGTCATGTTTGGATTGGCAGCTTCTTTTTCTGAACCCACTTTTCTTTTCTTTTCTTTCACATTCTGCAAAGAGCAAATATGGGACCAAATCTTTTCTCCCCCACCCTGAAATATTAAGGCTTTAGGCACAAACTGAATGTAGGCTTCTGTTCTTACCCTGTCTTATATGACAAGCACATTGCGAAACTGGAAAAGTTGTCTTTTTTAATCTTTTTTTTTTTTTGTACGTTGGTCCTTCCAAGGTGCTAGGCCCATCCAGTACTGGAAACACACATTCCATATGATGTGTTCTGCAGAAAATTGCTTTTCATGGCAGTTTGCAACACAAAACACATTTGCCCTGTGTGTGAATCTGGATGGATCCTCTGTGGTAGTCTCATGTCCTTGGTTTCTGTTAAAACAGTGCCAAAGAATCTTTTCTGCCTTAGATTCTTGGGTATTAATGTGAATAAGGGAAATCTCCTTGCAAAAATGTAACAAAAGACAAAGTAGCCTGCACATTCCTTAGGCAGCTCAAGGCTGGAAACACAATTCTATCAGCACAACTGGAAAAGGGGGAATTCTCTCCCCACTCCACCTCCAATCCTTGCAAAAGCCTTCCAAATCTCCTCCAGAGCAGATAGGGAACAAGGGCATAGTAAGGGGAAGGGCAGGGCTGGACTGTTCTCTTGGACACATGGGCTTTAATTCGCATAGCACTGGATTCCACTGCGGGTGCCTTAATTATAAAGGCTGCAACTGTTTTTCTAGTTTAGACCAATGTTCTAAATAATGTCCTTTTTGGTTCATCTCCTTGAAGATTTGAGATGCAGGGGAAAAAACCCCCACATTTTCCTGTTGGTCTACTTCCTTGTGCTCTGATAGGAAAAGAGTTGCTTGTGGTTTTTTTTTACTTCTGTATTTATTCAATTTTGCAAGGTGGGGGAAAATTGCCAAATCAATCTGTATTAAAACTTTCTGACTCCTGTAAGAGAACCCTGTAACATGATTTTTGATCTAATAATAATTTTTTTAAAGTACATATTCCTTGGTGTGGCATTCTTAAATAAATAGAAAAATGACAGCTGATGATGAAAGCCGTGTTGATAAATGAGATGGAAGAGAAAAAGGATGGAAACGGTGTCTGGTGTGAGGTTTCAGCTGCTGAACAGACCAATAAGGGCAGGGGAAGAGTGTGAAATGGTGTGTTTGACAACTGGCTTTTGAGCTATATGGCTTCGGTGGCTAAAATTAGAACCTAGTATTGAATCTGAAAAAGGCATATTTAAAATGTGTGTAGCTTCAGGTAGTAACTGGCAGAACTATTTTGTAGCAATTGGCATAATCTTTGCTTTGCAATAGCAGAACTATACAGAATGTGTGAAAATACTGAAGACACTACAGATAATCCTTGACTTACAACAACTGAGCAGAAATTTTCTGTTACTAAACAAGACAACTTAAGTGAATTTTGCCCCAATTTTGCCACAGTTGTTAAGTTAGTAATCAGGTTGTTAAATGAACCTGGCTTCCCCATTGACTTTGCTTGACAGGTTGCAAAAGGTGATCACAGGACCCCAGGACACTGAAAGAACGGTGTGCTTTAGGGGCGATGCCCAAAAATTTACAAGAGGTGCCTGGAAACTCAAACAGCAAAAAGGCCGTTTCCGCTGCAATAACAATTCTGGGCCACTCCCAAGTTCAACCTTTTAGAATAGAGAACCTCACATCTAAAACAGCTTACACACCAAATTTCAATTAGAATATCTATTATTGCCTTTGTTTTAATTTGTCCTATCCATTACCTCACAGCAGATAATCAACAATCCAGGACCACCATCAGAGAATCAGATATGTGCAACTGTGATCCATCTCGAACTACTGAAAGGATTAGACTTTTAAGTAAAATGCACAAAATTAGTGCAAGACATTAAGTGGGGGGGGGGACAAGGGAGTAGATAAGTCCTATTTGAAAGTCAGGCTGACAACTTTCAGATCCGCCCGAAGTTTTTTCATACTGCATTATGATGCATGGTTTAAAACTGCACCACTTGGGACACTGCTGAAGTGAGAATGCAACACACAAAGTAGGTGTGTCTATTCTTAGGAGAAGGAAGGGCTGCTTTAAAGTATTACAAGTATAACTTTCACGTTTTTGCAGCCCCTACGTGGTGCACAACCCTAACACACTTCTACACCTTATGCCGAGAAGAAAATCCTACATGGATTTGAGTCTAAAAACAACTGAACAGACTTGAGTCTAAAATCAACTGAAGGAAGATAGAACATTAAGATCGTAACAGTTCACAAAAACTACAAAATATCTCACATACATTTGCTGAGATATAATCTGGGTTTACAGTACCTTCCATTTGTGTCCCTTTCCGGAGCTTAGGTTTAAAATTAAATATTGATGCTATAAAACCAAAATGATTATCCTGTCATCCTTGTACATGGAAGGAGGATTCAAATGGGTAAGAATTAAAACAATATTGCTGCTGGTTTTAGTCAACCCATTTAGTTTCAATATCACCTTTTTGCAGTGGTATTAAACTTTCAATATGGTATAGGCACACTCTTTATAATCAAACTATGTGATTTTAATTAGTTTATTTAAACAAATTTTCATCATTATAAGTAAATCACAATTTAGAGAATACGGTGGTCCTTCCAGTAGATGAAGCTGGGAGTCATTAGAATTGTTTTACAATTACTATTTCTTCAGAAATGATGAGATTGTATACCAAGAAGATGGTAGAGCCATTGAATTGGGGTGTTCAGAAATGATGGAAATATGCTGGATGAATGCTTTGGCTGATATAATTATTCCCTTTGCTGCATTGTAAAAGTATAAGTAAATGCAATCAAGTCAGAAAAGCAATACACAAGAGTAATTCTCCCACCCCAAGCATTTAAATTGTCCTCCTTGAGCTGTTTTTCAGCAACAGTATTTGCATAAATCCTAAGTTTTATATATGTCTGATCTTGTCTATAATTAGCCAAGGATTAATTTGTCCTTAAATGTGCAACAATAAAACAGAAATAACTTAAACAGCTTAAACAGCTAACTGCCAGTTACTTGAAGTAATAGGTGCCGTGTGTCTCTTTCAAAGCAAGTTTCATCAAGAAAAGGAAGTTACAAGAAAACAGCAAGTCTGCCAAATGCGTTGCAGCTCAACACCTCTGTCTGTCCTCACTTCAGAAACAAGGATTTTATAAGAAGAAAATGTTGATGGGAAAGATGCTCATTTAGTCCAGCTGACTTTGGGGATGTCATAATGCTCAGTCAGAGTATCCAAGTGCCTATTAAAATCCTAAGAAAGAAAAGAATATTAGTTGGAAACAAGAACTCATTTACAAATATAGAGTACAAATATCCAGAGTTGGCAAATATCTATTTGAATAAATTTCATCGTCAATACCAAAACTCCCTCTGATTTCAGTGAATCTAGCTTGTATGTATTCAATCTACATTAATCCAAAATAAGAAACCTTAAATATATTAGACACAGTTTTTATAACAGCCTAATCACAAGGATACACATTTGGAAGTGAGGAGGAAAGAGCTCAGAAAATAGCGTTGATGCTATGTGTAAACTGGCACCGGGAGAGATCCAACAGGCATCTAATAATGAGCATGTAATTACAGGAAGGAAGTTACATGTCTTATTGAACCATCCTGAGGATCCCTGGCATGAAATGAAGGGATTGAGAATTGATGTTTGCCCCAACTCTACTAAACAACTTGTCTTTGTCTCCTCTTGCAAAATTAGGTAGGGCCTTTCTTAAATATTTGGAAGGTGGTTAAGAACTGCTCTTCTGCTGGGAGTTCAAGGAGGAAAAGGGGATACAGGTAGTTCTCGATTTAACAATCACAATTGGGACTGGAATTTCAGTCCCTAAGTGATATATCGTTAAACAGTCATCATGTGACCAGACCAAATTTAATTAACATTTTTACCATTGTTGTTAAGCAAATTGGTCATTATGGCTTCCCCAATTGATTGCTCCCCAATTGATCCGTGACTGCAACACATTGCAACCGTTGTAAATGTGAGCCAGTTGCCAAATGCCTGAATTGTGATCATGTGACTGCTGGGTGGTGTCATAGTTTTATCTTTGAGGATGGGTCATAAATTACTTACCCAGGCTGTCATAACTTTGAACCATTGTTAAACGGTTGTAAGTTGAGGACTACCTGTACAATGGGGCAGTTGTATCTCATGTCAGTTTTTATTTGTATGATTTTTATTGCTTGTTTTGAATTGTTTTAATAATTGTGGATTTGGATTATGAAACTATGAGTACTTTGATTGGGGTCGCATACAAAATTTAGTAAATAAATACATTTCAAAAGGAATAGATCAGATGAAATGGACGGAGGAGCAATGGTATTAAATGAAAGTGCACATCTGTTTAGAGATCCAGCTATCTGAGCACAAGGCTCCAGACAAGGACACTGAGTAAAAATACAAGGAAAAGTATAATAATATATTCTATGGGAGTGCGCTATAGACAACAGAAAATTTAAATAATGCCTGTTGACCAGTTTAGAAAACTTTCAGGAAAGAAAAACATGGGAGATTCAACTGCCCACACTCCATATAATTAAAACTGCAAAGTACCCAAGATTATTCAGTTTTCTGACTTTCATTTTCCAGGAGGTCAAAAACAAAGGGATTAGCCTTCCTAGATCTGATCCTAACCGGAAGGGTAAAGATAGCTGAAGATGTGCATTCTTCAAAAATGTGACAAACCTTTATAGGGTGGGATAGATAGATGATGGGTTTAAATTATTTCATTTTAAAACAGACATTAATTGGACATCAGTTCCTAACAGTAAAAGCTGTTCAATATATTGTACACCACCCAGAGCAACTCTCTGAGGGAGATGGGGTGTGTGCGTTAAAAAATATAAATATAAAAAAAGATTTAAAATATATATAAATAATGAGACAGATCGCCTAAGATGGATTCTCTTTATCTAGAGATGTTTTTAAAAAATAGCCATTTTTAAGGAATACTGTAGAAGTACAATCCTGAATGGAGTGGATAATCTCAAAGGTCTTTCTTATTCTGTGTTTTCTCTAATGACTAATGACCAAGAAAGAATTGCCTGCCAGAGAAATCACTTAGGCTGTTCTATAATATAGGAGGATATGAGGGGAGATTGAGGGAGAAAATCGATTAACCTTCTTTTGCAAATAGCTTAGGTTTAAGAGCAGTATAAGGTATAAGAGATAACATTTTAAGTCTACATCTATCCAAATAGGAACGTTTTCATCCATATTTTCTCCTCCTTAGAGGCATCTTAGGTTGGGTGATATAGACTGCTAAACCATAACATAAGTTTATTTTTATGCAGGAACATGTAGCTCAAAAAGCAAGAGCTTACCTCTACTCTCTGCTTGTGGGTTTTGGATGCTTTTTTCAAGATTCGTTCTATTTGCTACAGAATAAAAAGAGAGTACTGGTTATTGTTACTCTGCCAAGGAACATTTTTGCCCTTGATGACTTTCCACTTCACCCAAACTCTCTTTAGTGGCCCTTTTTCTCTTAAGACACTCACCCGCTTTTCCTGCATTTTTTCATAGGCCAGCTGTGCTGGAGTACGTTTGTCCAACGCCCGTGTCTTTTCCTCTTCTTCCTCCTGCTTCTTGCTGCTCACAATCTGGTCTACAATCTTGCTTCTTTCTTTATCTTTCTTCTTCTTTCTAAAAAAACAAAAAAAAAGACCACTGAGATAAAGCCCATTGTAAGTAAAATTCTTTCATAAAGCACGATAGGAAAAATAAGACAACTTTCTACATCTTCACCCATACTCTTAAGTTTTTAATTTGGATTTTCTTGTTAGAGAAAAGGGCAAACTGGAACATGGCACAAAGAATCAAGCCTGGGGATAAGGTCTTTAGAGTAGAGATGGGGATTTTAAAACACTTTGCTAATTATGAATCATATCTCCACTTCTTAATTTCGGGGAGCGGAATCAAGCATTGTCAATTTATAAACTCCACCAACTTTTCAAACGCGTCGCCTCTTTGCCCTTTTAACGTGTGGGTGACATACAAAAGACCAAGTCTTTCCAACAGTGAGCCTTTTCTTTTGAGGCAGCCTCGCCTTGGCTTTCCCAGAGCTTTTACAACAGCAACAGCCAAATTAATCACTCCTCCTTCTCTTGTTGTGGTCGTGAGGCCTCTTTGTTTTCTTACAGATGACCAAAGCTAGAAATTAGATTTTATTATTTCTTTTTGGCGATCGGCAAAAGAAGCCCCGCCTCCCCAAAAGAATGGGGTGAGTGTAGGACTATTAAAAACAAGATGAAGGCTGAACAAAACCGGCGTCTCCGCGGCCGCCTCTCTTATCAAATGTCTGCCTGGGGAGGCTCCCCTCACCGTTTCCCCGCAGACCCTCCGCCGGTGTCCCCCTTCAGACGCAGAGCGCCTCGCTGGACAGGTTCGTACTCCGACATAACCCCCGTTTCTTTCAGCACGTCAACGTTTCCCCTTCCTCCCCCCCCCCCTCTCTCTGGGGCTGTGAGGACAGGTCCACGAAAGTAGTTCCGGGTTAAACGAACCAAACAACAAGAAACCTCGGAACGAGTAAACGGGCGGATCCCTAAAATAAAGGAACGGCAGTTTTTTTTTTTTTTACCCATAGAGAGTTAAATGCTAGAGCGGTTCCAGGAACGAATTACTGAAGATTCATAGAAGGTTGTACTATTTGGAATGTTAAGGGAAGCAAAAGGGAAACGTAGTCGGAGCTGCGAGCAAGCCAGAGGGAATGTTTTTCCTGAGATACGTACATTTAGGGAGCCCCAGCTTCGGAAGTGAACTACACTGCAGGGTTGTCATAAGACGCTTGCCCTCACGTCCCCTCTATCATTGCAGGGCACATTGCAGTTCATTTTGTTTTTCCTCAAAAGGTTCTCTCATATCATTCTCATCATAGGCTGGGGAGGAAGATTTTAGACTGATAGTGACCGGCGCAAAGTCACTTTAGTGAACTTCATGGCTAAGTGGGGACCTGAATTTGGTCTCCAAATGAAACACTTGAACTGCAATCATGAATGTAAACTCCACCGTTGGTTGCTATTGTCTTTGAAAGAAATGCAAGGTCCAGTAAGAACCACCATTGCTGGGACCTGGTGCAGCTGACAGATATTTGGTCTTCGGTAGTTCTTGCTGACAGATATTTGGTCTTCGGTCTTGATCAAGCTCTTGTTGAATGCTTCCAGAGACTTGAATCTCCTTGTGTTCAGGAAACAAGACTAAATTAGCAAATGTGCTGCAGGATAGCCAGATCTAGCAAATGGAAGGGAAAACGATAATCTTGGTAACTGAACTGCCTGCTGGACTGAAAGAACTGAGAAAAAAGTATAAAGAGATAAAAGAAAAAGATATTATTTTGCATTAAGATTTTGAGATGTATGTATTTTTAGCTTTAGTTTCCCAAAAGCAGAGATTAAAAATTTACATTTCCAAGTCCTTTTGAGATAAATTTAAGTCCAGCTTTTGGTATCAACTTTAGCGGAGATGGGAAGGATCTCTAGGTGTGTACTGTATATGCTTGCTCTATCAAAGATTTTAGACAATAAGCTGAATCTTTGCTTGTAACCTTTGTCTTTGTTATTATAAGGTAATAGATTGGAATCCTTTCTTTCATCCTATTTTTTGTTTAGGTTGGGCAGGAAAGAGTTTGAAGGTTTCAAGTTGACTTGACTACCCAGTCTGTAACATCTAGGTGCTGAGTTCTTGAAAGGGGCAGTATCAGCCAATGCAGGTTTGATGAATATGTGAAAAGGCTAGTCATATTGTACACGGTTGTGTCTATTTTGGCTGTATCCTATATTCACATTATATGGAATGTAGTGAACTGTTTCATTTGGCTGAGCTTCTTCAGTTTTGTGACTTAAGCTTAAGCTTGTTTGACAATTCTATCAGGGAAGTGCAGCTATCATATACCCTTGACCAAAGATTGGTACACTTCTTCTACCTGGGATGGTTCTCCTCTTCCATTAAATGCACAGCTTTGGGAAGGATGCATATGGAGTGATGAGGGAGGAAGGCAACACCCACATAGTTAGCCAGATCAGCCAATCAACCCTGGCCATCAGTGGGGTGACAGATGTTGTGGTCATATCACCCTCATGTCCATTTGTGACTCCCTTTAGTGGAAAGGTTGTGCTGGTGAGACAAGTATTTCATGACTTGGTTCTCACACTACATATAACCAGGGCTTTTTTTCTCATAGAACGCCCAGAACAGAGTTCCGGCACCTTTTTTGGATGGAACCTTGTAGGGTAGGGAAGGCGGGTTGTATGACGTGGGTGAGTTCCGGCACCTTTTTTTTTTTTTTAGAAAAAAAGCACTGCATATAACTAAGTCAGTTAAAAGCCTAATAGCTACATTGGTGGCTTTAAGTATTGTGCAATACCCTCCCCTCATTGATGAATAATCATGTGAGAGATACATATAATTCTTGAGTATAATTCATATCTTCTCCTTCATAGAAGGAAATGGATTCATTCCTGGCTATACCTCCCCAAAATAGTCCTGATCTTTGGACCAGCTTTCCCCACATTTGGGCAGTGTCAGAGATCAGGATGCTATTTTCTTAGATTACTTGCTATTCGTTTAAAGGATGGGTTCAAAAAGGTCTGGAAATCTATTCCAGTAATCTGGAAGGGAGTAGAGTTTCATTAAGTAACTTCAATATCTCCTGCTTTGGTACTGCCATACAGAGCTTCATGGGGAAAAAGCATAGGAAAGCAGTTCTGGCCAGATAATAATAATAATAATAATAATAATAATAATAATAATAATAATAATAATAATAATAATAATAATAATAATAATAATAATAATAATAAAAGTTGGAAGTGACCTTGGAGGTCATCTAGTCCAACCCCCTGCTCAGGCAGGAAACCCTATACCATTTCAGACAAATGGCTGTCCAGTCTCTTCTTAAAAACTTCCAGTGTTGGAGCATTCACCGCTTCTGGAGGCAGGTTGTTCTACTGGTTAATTGTTCTGTCAGGTTTCTCCTTAGTTCTAGGTTGCTTCTCTCCTTGATTAGTTTCCATCCGTTGCTTCTTGTCCTGCCTTCAGGAGCCTTGGAAAATAGCTTGACTCCCTCTTCTTTGTGGCAGCCCCTGAGATATTGGAACACTGCTATCATGTTCCCCCTCGTCCTTCTCTTCATTAAACTAGACATACCCAATTCCAGCAGCCTTTCCCTATGTGCTTTAGCCTCCAGTCCCCTTATCATCTTTGTTGCTCTTCTCTGTACTCTTTCTAGAGTCTCAACATCTTTTTTACATTGTGGTGACCAAAACTGGATGCAGTATTCCAAGTGTGGCCTTACCAAGGCATTGTAAAATGGTATTAATACTTCATGTGATTTTGATTCTATCCCTCTGTTAATGCAGCCTAGCACTGTGTTGGCTTTTTTGGCAGCTGCAGCACACTGCTGGCTCATATTTAAGTGATTGTCCACTAGGACTCCGAGGTCCCTCTCAGTTACTACTATTGAGCAAGGTACCCCCTATACTGTATCTGTACATTTGGTTTTTCTTGCCTAAATGTAGAACCTTACTTTTTTCACCATTGGATTTCATTTTGTTAGATAGTGCCCAGTGTTCAAGTCTGTCCAGATCCTCCTGTATTTTAAACCTGTCTTCTGTCTATTCCTGCCAGCTTGGTGTCATCTGCAAATTTGATGATTTCCCCATCTATCCCCTTGTCCAAATTGTTGATGAAGATAGTTTTAGTCATGGAGCCCAAATCGCCTTTTAATAATAAAAGTCTTGTAAACAGGCTCCAACATATAAGTGAGTCTCCCAGAGATACAGAAGTTATACTGGAATCCTGAATACTCTGAAGAAAAGTTACAAGATCAGGTTTTTATTGTGGCAATATATGTGCACAGGGTCAATGCTAAGTTTGAACTTGTGCCCGAGAATTTCAGAAAATCCCACAGAAAAAGCTGAACCAAAGTGACTTTCTCAAAGGAGAAAACAGCTACTGTATTTGTAAGTCAGACAAGTGTCTAATGCCAAAGAAGAATTGCAAGATTAGCACAGACAGGCCAAGGTGTAGTAAGCAAAGTGAACTGGTGTTGTCTAACCTGCTGGGAACATTTATATGATCACAAGGATTTGAAGCTCACAGCTATCCACTCCAAAACAAACATTTGTCTAATCAGTCAAATAATACACGCTCTGAATCAATCTCCTATACTGTGAAGAAAGCACAAGAGGAATTTGACTTGTATATGTAAGAATACACACTGATTTCTCTAAAAAAATAATTTATTTTTATTTTGAGACATTGTGCAATTTCTATCATGGGAGTGTCTAGAATGAGTGCCAAGAACAGACTAATTTATTTTTCCTGACTCCAAGAGGGAGGGTGAGTAATCCACTACAAATGTCAGTGCTTCATTCTGTCTTACAGGCTACACCCTATACTCCTTCATAGATTGGAAAGGCAGAGGAAAATCATTTAGAATTATGCTGATCATTACTTTTTCTACTAGCCATGATACAGTTAACAAACCACATCTCCCGAGAAAAAAAGAAAAGCCTGTTTCAAAATGTCCGGTATCTGATTTCTTGATCTACATGCCCCACATCTGTCAGGTGGAGCAGTGATGGAGTTCTTTATCGGAGAAGAGACGATTATGAAAAGGAGCCACTTTGTCCCATTGCATTAGACTAGTGTAGGATCAGATCCAGAGAGGAAAAAAGGCCGTGCAAATGGGCAAGTCCAGAAATATTGAACAGCACCTCATGTTAAGGCCATGCCCCTCACAGAAGGACACATCGGAAAAAACTACTTTTCTTTGGCTGATCTGGGCTGATCTTCATTCCTGGGCTATTGCCCTGAGGGCTATTGCCTTCCTAGAAAGGTAAAGAATGGTGAGATTCAGTTACTAGGAAATTTAAAAGTCATTGTTAAACTTAAAACCCGCTAGCAGAATAGAGTGGAAGCTCTATTATACTATTGTTATACCAGTTATGCCAGCAGAACTAGCCAAAACTGATGAAGTAATACTGAAATACTGTTGGAACATGTAAGTAATATTAGGTTGCCAGCAATGCTATGCAACAGAATATCCAGAGCAGCAAAATTATGTATGGCATATAGGATAATTATATACAGTAATTATGAAATCAGTTGAATAAAGAAAAAAAGTGAAAGACATAGTTTCTGTACCCACTTTGGAATTTTACACTCAGAACTCCAATTATGAGCTCTTGTTTTACATGATCACTATGTACTAATACTTTGTGTGATCTTGATTCTATGCCTCCGTTTATACAACGCAGGATTGTATTAGCTTTTTTGGCTGCTGCCACACACTGCTGGCTCATAGTCAAGTGATCGTCCACTAGGACTCCAAGATCCCTCTCACAGTTACTGTTTTTGAGCCAGGTCTCGCCCAATCTGTACTTGTACCTTTGATTTTTCCTGCCTAAATGTAAAACTTTGCTTTCCTCCACATTAAAAC